GTATTGGAGTTCCCCGCCAGAGAGGCTCCCTGCCCTGGCGTGCACCATGCAGGCTGACCCGCAGTGGTGACACTTTATGTCTGTGACATATTCTACAGATGCAGACATTGAAACCACAGTTAAAGGTGTTATGTTGCTGATATGATGTTAATATGACTATCAACAGATCGTTTTCTGTCTATTTCTGCTGAGAACCGCGCGTGTCACGCAGAGAAAATAGGCAAGACCTCGGATCTCTAGATGACGCAGCAGCCACGTGTGAGACGGGCTGCGTGGCTGCTCTAACCTGTTAACATGGGCGCCGAAATGAAAAGCAAGAGGTTCCGCAATGCACATGCACTGCTCACGCAGGCTGTGTGTCCCAGGTGTAAGTTTACAGGGTTTAGCATTAGTTCAGTATGGAAAAGGCAAAGGAAAAGGCAAACAGTTTATATTTTGCATTTCATAACTCAATGCCTCACATAAAATAGAAAGTCACTGGGACTTTCCTGACAGCACTTGTGTGTACTGAGCTAAAACATTTAAATAATTACCTCCAGTTTCTCAAGATTCTCCTGCTGTATCTCTGCTCATTGCTTAAGGGGTCAATAACAAGTAGGGCCTTTCCTGACATTTTCACAATCTGTAACTCATTGCAGTTTATCTGTTTTAGTTGCATATTTATGTGGAATATTGTTAAATATATGAATATTGTTAGATTTACAGACCACAAGAATCCAATGCCCTCCTGTGTTGTATGGACACAGCCACAAATCCCTGTTTGGGATGATCATCTATAAAAGAAAAGTGTTTACACCACAGTTTGTAGCAATATATTGTTTCAATGAATGAAATAAGTGTAGCTCATAAGTTTCACTGTATATGCTCACCTTCCTCACACATCTAAACTGTCCATTAAACAGAGATGTTGACACAACCGAAGACAGCACAAATATGTGGTCCTATAGAAGAGTAAAACATCAACCTACTTAATCTATGAATTTACAACAACTAAAATATATTGTACAAATCTCGTGATATTAATGAAAGTAAGTTTTATCTACACAAAAGAATAAACATTCAGAAAAATATAATACTTGACATTTACCTTCTGTTCTTCTGCAAGGATGTGAAGGTAACTGTCAATCACCTGCATCCAATAGTGAATAAATTAAACACGAGTATTTAATTTATATTTATTTGTATTTGTATTTATTTGTGAGTCCTACCTCATCTGAAAGCCAATTCATCCCTTTAA